TCGGTCCTTAGTTTACAGCCGTTTCTCCGCAATCGGTCCTTAGTTTACTAATTATGGCGGGGTATCGTGCACTAGAGCGCTCCGAGTCGCCACGAATCTCGCGTCCTTTCTTAGCCTGCGACAGTCTGCACATACTTGGACTGATGTCCGTGGACGTCGGCTGAGGAACGCTTCGAAACCTCCGCCGAAGGACGCGTGTGTGCAGTAAGTGTGAAACGTTCCATCAGATCAGACTCCTGTTTACGTGCCTCGCTTCTGCTTCCCACATGCGTCTTCAGGCTCGGTCTCGAGCTCCGGTTGCCAGGACCATCCTTTTGAGCTTATGGCGATGTCGCAGAACCAACAGAGAAGCAACGCTTAAATTCTTTTGTTTTACGCCGACGTTGCTGGATTGTTCGGAGATCGACACGCACGAGGCGTGTTACCTCATTTTCCAGCGGAGTGTAATCTTTCGAAGGCGCACAATTTGCGCACAATGAGCGACCGGCCGCATTGCCTCGGGTTTTGTCGGCGAACAGTGATGTGCAGATTGTATATCAACCGGCAGTGCTAGGCGACGCCGCAGATGGCAGTAACCCGACTTGGCTGGCTGTCTGCTTATCTATACTAAAAAAAACTCACCCAATTCAAAAGGTGGTGGAGCGGAGGACGAAGGAGTTCCCAGCGTCCGGGCCCCGTGACGCGTCCGTCTTTCAACCAGCAGGCCGAGACGTGCCCAATGCTTCCGTCGTTGCTCACGCCCGTGCCAATTGTGGAGCGAGTAAGAAGCAACTGTGTGAGAAGTGCCAACAGAAGCGCGATGTCAGTATCGCGGCCGAAACGTTGGGCCATCCTCTACCAGCCTCTACCGCCGCACCGGGAGCTCCATACGGGGTTGCGTCGAAACGGGCGTTCGGTCGGCGTGACAGGAGGCGGGGTAAGGATTATGCAAACCATCCAGGCTGCCAGGTGTCAGCTTCTCGTCTTGATCACGCCGCCACACTGCGGCGCCTCGACTCGAGCTCTTGTCGCTCGAGGAGCAGGGGAACGAGCACGGCAATTTTTTTCCCGAGCGAGACCGTCACGCCAATAGCAAAAAGTCCCATGTCCTCGAGGCATAAGAGCTGGCATAAGCGTTGTGAATCCATCAAGCTGTTGATGGGACAGTATGGAGACGTCACGTTTGCCCCCACCTTATAACCCAACATCTGCTGTCCCACGCGCCATTTTCGCCTCTCTCATCGTACCACCCCCCAAAAAACTAAAATGCGTTTCGCGTCCCTCGCTGCTGTCGCCGCTGCTGCTGCCGTCGTCTCGGCCCAAGATCAGGTGTGTTCGCCGCCATCGCCTTCTCGTCCCAGTGTCTGATGCGAGCGCCGTGTAGGTCGTAACCGTCGGGCTATCAACAGGCGCAGCCGACATTTTCGTGTTCACCCCCAACAGTCTCACAGCCAAGAACGGCTCAGTCATCACCTTCCAGTTTGCGGGCACGTAAGCATCAAACATCCCTTCCCCCCCCGACGGTCTTTTCATTCACCTCGGTCCCATCAGCCCAGGAAACCACTCTGTCACCCAGTCGTCCTTCCCCACCCCCTGTGAACCCCTGTCCGGCGGATTCGACTCAGGCAATGTTCAGAAACTCACAAACTCGACTGACAATGCCGTGCCCACCTGGAACCTCACCGTCACCAACGACGCGAAGCGTGCGTTCATCATGATTGACCATCTTTTGAGCTGATCTGATGTTTATTTTTCAGCCATCTGGTTCTACTGCAAGCAGAACCTCCCGACGCCCCATTGCAACTCCGGTGCGCCCTTCCCCGCCAGCATATCTTTGGTTCTAACAAATCCCCGCAGGCATGGTCGGCGTCATCAACGTCCAGCCCGGCGCCAACAGCCTCGGGGCCTTCGTGGCCGCCGCCCAAACCGACAAGCTTGTGGTACGTGTCCCTCGCTTCCCAGTTTTTTCAACCCACACCTGAGCGTTCTGTCCAGCAATCCCAGGGCGGCCTCGTCGGTGTCGGTGCCTCGGCGTCTGCGGATGTTTCTATCCCCTCTGGCCTGACTAGTGCGTCGCTCTTCAAGGGCCCCGCCGCCCCCACCGGCACTGCACCTGCCAGCAGCGGTGCCAGCGGTGCCAGCGGTGCCAGCGGTGCCAGCGGTGCGAGCAGCGGTGCAGGCGCCGCGCCCACCGGCGGCGCCACCACGCTCGGGTTCAGCCTCGGCGCCGCCGTCGTCGGTGCCCTTGCCGGCGCCGCGCTCCTGTAGAGACCCACGAACACCCAGACGCTCGTCTCCGCTCCTTTCGGACTCTGGTTCCCTCGGTAATGCGTGCTGTATACAGTCTTAATGGCTCTACTATGTCGTGTCAGGATAGTAGTTAGTTACTGGACCGGTGTCAATATATCCAAGTTCGTGCGATGTTTCATGCGACAGAGTTGGGATCATGCTCTGATGAACGCACATCAAACTCTACCGTGGTCGCATCAGCCTGTATCAATTGCGCACATACCAACGCCTGTCGCACCGTGGCACTGGCACCGGCTGGAGGGCGACATGACAGTTGTACATAACGCACAGTTGCCATCTCGCCGCACTCCACCCATATGGCTACATTCTTTCTGTAGCAATGCGGTGATTGCAGCGGGCAGGTGATGCCGTCAGGGCAATGGCAGTGAGGTTGGCTCGAGAATCATGATCAACAGGTGTTGCTTACCCGCGTTATCGCCCACTCAAAGGGCCAGGCGCCCTCGCTCAAGGGGGATTGCTACCTCTCACTGGCAGCGGCTGAAATCTCGTTTGATGTTCAAGACCCGCGTCATGGATGACCTGGACGCGCAGAATCTTCGCCGCCTTCTCGGTATTAACTCGCGTTCGATGCTTGCTGTTCTCTTTACCCAAACGGGCTTAATGCCTATTTGAATCCGACGACTACTTCTCGCCTTCTCACGTCTCCGGTATATGGTGATGCTTGGGGATGACCGCAGGGTACGATGGGTGCTCCTCCGTCGATCTTTTTGCGGCGAGACGCGCGAGCTGGGCTGGGGATATTGCAATTTTGTTACGCGCTCTTCCCATATTGCACCGCAGGACTTCCTCAGGCTCTCCATCAATGGACGCTATCATCACCGAGGCTGTTGACGCCGACCTTCAGTTCGACATCAAGTTCTTGCAAAAGACTCATCTGCTTCGCAACCGTCTTGAACTTGTAGAGGATTCAGATTCTCTCGCAAGGGGCTGTCACATCAAAAATGTCACATATAGGGTAGGGGGGGAGGGGGGGTCCCCCGAGGGTCAAAAAAAACTTTTTACATCCCTGGCAATAGAGGTTCAGAATCACGTTAAACAGCATTTTAAAGGTTTACGCACGTGGTACTGTAGTTTTTCAAAAACACGTGACCTTTTGATGTCATCAAAACGGCTTCAAGAATCTCGATAATCACAAAAAATGATTGTATTAGGTTAGGAACATGCAGTAAGTGCTAGAAAGCTCAAATTCACGTATATACACATAGCCATACTACATATAACTACATATAACATTTCTTATTTGTGGCTTCAAAAGGCCCACGTGATTACAATCTTATCTTATCGTGGGAAAGACCTTCCCGATAAGGCAGGAGAGGGGGGGAGGGGGGGTCTAGCAGGTCGAAAAAAAACTTTTCGACCCTATATGCATTTTTCGAAAAACGACAGCCCCTTGTTCTCTCGCACTCGTTTCATGTTAACTTCCCGCTCCCGGCTACCTATTCCCCGTGAGGAAAGGTTGTGCCGGTTATGCCGTTGCGATGTTGAAGACGCGCGCGGTACACGCAACGCTCGATTGCGAGACGCATGCACCACTGGTGGACCTGAGAAAAACTTTCCTCGCCGACATTTTTGAATGCGACGCTGCGCTCAGAGCTGAGTACGAGAGCTCACGCATTATGAGTTCCTGCGTCGCATGATATTGTCGAGGAAAGGTATCCCAGCGCATTGCGAAATATGTATGCGAGGTATTTGTTCTTTTCAGTTCTTTCGAACGGTATATTCCAGAGGGTTTCAGTATCGTTCGGTAATATTTCTCCCTGTCTACCCTGCTCATTTCGTGAGACTCATACGTTTTTTTGCTGATGTTCGAACCGATGTGGTGGTGTAGACTGTTGTAGCATACATAATAGAGGCTATGTATGCAGGTATACGTTCGTCATTGGGACCACCCCAGTTAACATACTCCTCCTCCGCTCAGAGATGGGTTTCCGTTCGTTTCACGTTCTCCATGCCGGGTTTACACCATATATAGGTAGAACAATCTGAGAGTAATTGATTACATTTCGTCCCCTGCCCTCCGTTTCGACCCGTTGGCAGTTGAACAGCTTCAGTGCCGGTCCGATCAATGTACTCTGGTGGGAACTCGAAACCACAAGCGCCACCATATTTTCGGAATCAAAGCGACGGATAACAACAGATCGTTTTTGCTGTGGCTGTCAGAATAGAGTCTGGCGACTCGGAACGGAAAACTAATTTTAAGGGAATCGCCGTCCAAGTTCGTACTCCTTAAAAGAGTCCGGAACGAAGAATCACAGGGCTCGTAAATTACGTAATCGCATTTGATTAGGCGCTCCGGATACCCATTGACAAATTCATGAAGCCAGAATTGACCAGTGAGGATGGAAGTGTGCATAGGGATGGGAAGCGGCGTCTCGTGGATAAAGTAATCAGCAAAGAACACAGATGTGGATACGGCAGAGAGAACAGTGGCCCAGCGATGATGAATAGCTCGCGTAGCGGTTATTTCAGGCGGAATTGGACGGACCGTGGCGCGCACTCCAGACATAGTGGACAAGAGCAAGACGCGTTCAAGTTCGCGCTCCAGTATACAGGGTGACAGTCACAAGATTCCGTCACCCGCTCTATGCCTCGAAATCTGCTCAAATTAAACTAGGCAGATGTTGGACTTTTCTACTCTCATTTGTCATTCTAGGGACTTCCGAGCTGTAAACAAAAATGATGAAGACAAGAGCAGGCGAGAGTAAAAAGAATTCCGGAACGGGGAATCGAACCCCGGGCTGCCGCGTTTCAATATTACGTAAGTAGTAGCTTACTTAAAGAGATGAGAGGCGGTAATGTTACCCCTACACCATTCCGGAATTACTAGGATTGAAAGACAATGGTATAGGTCAGCAAACGCGAGCTGCTTACGATTCGATATTAGTTCGGTAAACAAGACGCCAGTACGAAAACGAAAATATACTGCTTAGACGTCATTCTGTAAAGCGTGCTCGAGTAACGTATTGTCTGTGAAGCATGTAAAAACTATTCTCCGACCGGTGTGTGGCGCGCTGCAATGTCCAACCAAGCGAGCGAGGAATGCAAGGGCAGAGCCTGGCAAGAAGGAGACTTTGCTATCCAATTGGGGGAAGCAGATCTGACCGCCGGTATACTCTCCAATGCAGAAGACGAGCGTGGGTCGGGCAAGGGGATCGCCCCAGTCGACATGCCAGACCTCGGTGGCGCCTTCTTTGACGGCAATCGTAGTGAAAACCCCGTCAAAGTCGAAATGGGGCCACTTCTTGAGTTCCTCCCCGAGATACTGGTGAATTCTCTTGCGGACACTAGGCACTGGTCAGTGGATGTCAACTAAATGTAGTAGGCGCTCACAGCTCCCGAGTGCGTCGTTGTTCAGGGTAGTACTCGTCCATCAGACGCGTGAGTTTGGGTAGCACATGTTTTTTGATGGCCCCGCACAAGTTGTGAAACGCTCGCATAACAGGCTCCCGCTTCGATGGCGGATTTAGCCGAATTTGGCGCATCTCTCCAGTGATTACTGGGGTCATCCGATAATGGGACCAAACTCCAAGGTGGATAGCGGGGTTGCTGCTACGCTGTTCGTCGGCAGACGGGAAGCAGGGGTCGAGCGCGAGGACTTCGTCGAAGAGGCGCATGAGGAGCCGCTGCACGCTCGGGGTCACAACCTCCGACCATCGAATTACGGGATTTCGTGGACGGCCCTCTGCCTCGAGAGCGGCGCACTGTCTGGGGGATATTTTGACCGGAAGCCACGTCCCGAAACCTCCAGGACCGATTTTCTGTTGTCGTTCGGCAGTCGGTTCTGGGACTTGGATTAGGAGCGTTTGTCGCTATCACACTCGCGGGCCTCCTTGCCTGGCTTCGCCGGCGGTCGGTGGGTCGGCGCCCACTTTGCAGCACCCGCTGCTCTTGCCCAACCCTTGGTCGGCAACGGTGTCCGCCCTCTGGCCGGCAGCCGCCCAGCGCCCGTACTGGTCACCGACCCCGGCTGGCGCGACGACCGCGTCGCGTGTGAGGACGTATGTAAACTACGGGAACGTATGTGAACTACAGGAAAGGTAGTACGTGTATCTACACTTGGTACAGGAAGCTCTGGGAAGGGTGGAATAAAGTAGGTATGGTAAACGTTCTATGGCTGTCGATGAATACGGGGGAATTATGTGGAAATGTAACAGGGAGGTAGTGGGAGTGCCGTGAAGGTCGACACGCGCGCGGCCGGTGTGCACTCGCATGAGGAGACTGTTGTCCCGTACTCTGACGCTGCGACAAAACGGGTCGTGCTTGTCGATTTTCTCCAATCTGGAGCTACGCGGCGACCGATGCGATTCGGTATCACTAGTCAGGCTGCTGCCTCTGGCCCTGTGGTCCCCGGTCGCTTTTGCACAAGTCTACGCCCGAGTGTGCGGCGTCGCGCGCGCAGGTGGAGCGGAGAGGCATGGCTGGGGCTTGAGTGTGACACGTGGTCTGTGCAGTGGGCGACAGACGTCAGAGGCGCTTGCAGTGGGCAGCTAGTGGCGGACAGCCAGAGGTGCGGTCGCGCGGGGGGTGAGCAACGGCCGCGCGCGCGAGCCTGTCGAGAAAAGCGAGGCGGCGCGTGTCTGGGCGTCTTAAAATTGGAAGGTCGGTCGCCATCCACCACGTCGTCCAAGAGGTGCGGTCGCGCGTGGGGTGAGCAACGGCCGCGCGCGCGAGCCTGTCGAGAAAAGCGAGGCGGCGCGTGTCTGGGCGTCTTAAAATTGGAAGGTCGGTCGCCATCCACCACGTCGTCCATCGGAGATGCGGGGTGTCGTGCACAGTGGGCCAGACGACGAGTCTGTGGGACCCCTGTGCACCACGGCTCGCAGAGCCGTGGCAGACCGGCGACTGAGGAGCAGCGGGAGTGGCGGTGGTTGCCGGGCGCGTCCACGGCGTGAGTAATGGGCGGAAGGCGAGAGGCGGGGCGGAAAGGAGGCAGGAAGCGCTGATTGTGCCAAGCACGGCGTTGCTCCAATCTAGTGCGGCGGCGGAATGGGCGGAAGTGGGTGTTTAGCAATTCGAGCGGGCACCGCGAGGCTAGCGGGCGGTTCGCAGGCGTGCGCAGGGCTGGGTGCGGCGAGATTGCTACGCCGACGCCACGAGCCGCATGTGATGCGGTAGGCGCGGGTGGTTAGCGACACGGCCGAGCTCGGCATGGATGGCGCACTCGCTGAGGAGGAGGAAAAGGTCCTGCCAGTGGCTGGTGAGATTGAGATTAAGTAATCGAAAGAATGGAGTCGCACCTCTTTCTTTCTTGTTTCCATGTTAGTCCCACAACACCGGGGGGCGCGCAAGCGACGCCAGACTCCTCTGCAATGGATGAGCGGTCGCGTCCGTAGCCGAACTGTAATAGATACACACCGAAATGGGACAACGGCAGCTTGACGTGGTAGGTGCGGCCGCGTCTCAAGCAGAGCGCCTTCGTGTGTGCTAACCGGGGGCGTCTGCGGGAGGGTGAAAGCTGCGAACAGCTTCCCTCGACCGCAACGGGCATGAACGGGGCGTACGCTCCAGCGAACGGCTCCCACCATGTGAGTCCCTAACACCAGGGCCATAGTGACACGCGAAAGCGTTGCCAGACGATGCGCGCACGCCAAGGTCTTGTGGATGCAATAGGTAGCATCGAATCTAGCAAGTGTGGCCGAGGTGGCATGGGTAGCGGCACTGGATAGACCGACGACACGTCGTTTTGCAGGTTCGGTACGCGTCGGAGGCCTGGGCCACGTTGGAGCATTGACGGTCGAGGCAGAAAAGAAATGTCATGTGACCAGATGGCACGTGAGTAGCAGCCGTGCACCATCACGAAAAATGTCACATCAATTCCAGGACCTTTCAAACAAGTTGCAGGCGCCGCAAGCCCAGGCAAGGGTGCCGGGGCTTGGCCGGTGATGGCAAGAGGGTCGGCTGCCCCTCAATCAAACGGCGAGCCTCGAAAAGTTTGACAGGCTGATGGCTGTCGCCAGGCTTCAGTGTTCGCCTAAAGGTTAATGGCCTTTAGCGCTAAAGGCCTTTAAGAGGCCTTTATAAAGGCCTTTAGATTTTCTGGCGAGAATTTTTGCCCTTTATAAAGGCCTTTAGACATCACATGTGTATTACCTCATTTACTTGGATGGCTCATTTCCGTTCATCCCTGCCTTGTTTTTTTTTGCAAATCTGGATCCAGCACGAACTTGCTCTCAAATCCAGGGCACTCGTCCTCCAGACTCCAGGGTTATTTGGATGCACCAATTTATGTGGAAGAAAATTGTTGGTGAGATGATAGTAGAGCTTGGGGAGGTCCAACTGAGTCTCACTACATCTTGATGTATTTTGTTCCCCAAAATCGGCAGATGAGGCCAGCTTGAGTTGAGCTTGAGCATGAAAAACACAACACGCTTGGACCGCGTGGGAAATTGATCAAAGGCCTTTAGGCGCCCTTTAGCTAAAGGCCTTACCCTTTAAAAGGCCTTTAGAGATCTCAGACCCCCATTAAAGGCCTTTAGGGCGAACACTGCCAGGCTTGCCCGACTTTCCAAGGACTCCCAAGCCTCGGCTCGTTCCAAAGGGTCAAGATATATGCAAGGACTTACAAGGTCATTCAAATTTCAAGCAAGGCTCGCACGCCGCGCAAGCCATTGCCGCGCTAGCCAGTCTCTCGCCAGGCTTAACTACTACTTCGATTGATCGAGCTTTCATTTAATAATAATAAATATTCACAATAAAATAAATGAAAATTTAATTTATTTCCACGTATACAACAGCAAGTACAGTGTGATGCGATGTAACATACAAGTGCAATTGGGTTCTTGATACAAGTCAGCGAGGATATACTGGACAGGAATGCGATAGAAACGAGCAGCGTTGATGGGTCTAAATAACGGTTAGCACAGATTCGGTATCACGTGAGGCCGGCTGCAGACGTACCAAGTGATGCATTCCCCAGAGAACCAGTCTATACGACAATAATCAGCCTACAGCAAGAGGGCGAAAGAAAGGCTCACTAGAATGAGAGGGAGCAGAATGAGAGTGGCACTGGACGAGAGTCTGAAGTCAGCCGCGACGAGATCGAGCCAAGGAAGAAGCGTACCGAGATATTGAGCAGCAGAAGTCGTTGTCATTGTTTAAGGCAGTCTGCAATAGAGATAAGCGCCGGCGATAATGAGCTGAGGGAGCACGTACGATTACGTGTCGTCGATGTTATTATATATGCAGCTTAAAGGACCGTTTGATAAGCCGCGTGCACGCCTTCAATAAAGGCAACTCACCGAAAAGAGTGGATGTCGTCTGGAAGTAAGATCAGCGGAGCGGGAATGAGGGGGATGGATGCGAGACACACCACAGAACAACTCTGAAGAAGGAAACATCAGCGATGGTTACGAGGCAGAGAATGAGCGCACCATAAGCAGAGATTAACCCGACCCGTCATGCACAGCAGCGCTGGCATTGGCGTTGGCGACGGTGGAAGCGGCTGCGGCGTCGCGCTCAGTACGGCGAGCCCTGGCGATCGTCTTCATAGTCGCCAGAGTGTCTTCGTCCTCGTCCGAGTCGGAGTAGTCGGAGTCATCGGCAGCGGCAGCAAGCTGTGGTGCGCGCTCCTTCCCGAATACTTGGCTATTGGAAGTAGTTAGCGCAGCTCCAAGTTTTGACTGGAAAAAACTCGGACGCACCTTTGCAGCCAGACTAAAGTATCACCCGCCCACTCCTCATCTGCGTCGTCACCATCGAAGAGGTCCAAGATGTCGTCATACAACTTCTCAATGCCAGGGCAGTCGTCCCAATTGAAGGGAGTGAGCGTGACATAGACCTGCGAGTGCCGAGTCAGCAGTTATAAAGAGGTGAAAGTGAT